CCTCCCGACTACCAGCCGGGGGTTTATCTACTGTCTTCCGCAGTAGATAAATCATTTTTAATAGTACAAGTGATTTCACAACATTTTGCAAGGCAAGAGAAGATTTACTGCACCTCTTATCTTCTGTCACTCCAGCACCTCCGTGAACTAATTGGCTCCCCGAAGCAGTAATGGCGTTTAGGAGGGCCACTTAGATCCTGATCCTACGTCTAAAATAAAGCCCAAGCAAATTCTGCCTTCTCATGGATGTCCTGCTACCCCGAGTTTCTAGGAGCAGGTCATCTTTCAGGATGCATGACAGCAAAGGAACACTGCCTACTTTAAGCATTCAGCTTAAAAAAACCCAAACAAAGCAAAAAAAAAAAAAATCATCCTAAAATACACCACACTCCCTATTAAAACAGCATAATATATTCTATCAAGGTCTGTACCCCTAAACTCCCCCCGCCCCCAAATATTCTAATACTCTTAAATAAAGCCTGAATTCACAGTATGCATATTCTTTCCAAGTGACACTAAGTCCTATGAACTTTGATTCCCTGTAGAGCTTAAATATATGAGAGGGCTCTTGGACTCTATTCTGCACTACATAAAAATTGTCCCTCTAAATTACCAACTTTGTGGCTCATCAAAATGAATACCACTGACAAACTATGTTAGACTACAGTATAGACCTACCCTCCTCATTTTGCGTTACGCATGAAACAATTGAATACTGGCAAAGAAATGATGACTGGGGGTCTGAGTTCATACCTCAGGGAGAAAACCTGAAAAAAGAACCCAGAAGTTGTGTTACACTCTGTTCATCGTTTTGAAGGGGTTTTTTGCCATAAAAGCAGACTACGTGCTAATATATGGTATTATGACAACCTGGTGACAGTGTTCTGCTCTTTTTCAGGGCATGCTTCCATTCGTTCTCAGGAGATGCCACCATTTGATAATAATCAAGCCACACGCTATTTTAGTAATTCAAACAATTTACATTCCTAAAAATACAGACTAAGGTAATCAGGTACAAAAAGCCATTCAACCTAGCTGACTAGCATACTGCCACTCATTTACGACATTGGTCGTTAATAACGGGAAGTAAAACCAGCAACATTTCTTAAGTTTACAGCTTAGTAAAAATACGCCATGTGTGCCACTCTATTTTTTTTGGGGGGGGGGGGGGAGGAGAAGTAGGCAAAGAAAGCCCTCAAAATTTCTACCAGTAATCAGGTACCTGAAAGAACACACTTTTCTTCCTTGGAACACAATAGTCCCAGTACAACACACAGAACACTTATGTTTAAATCATTAAATCAGAGCCAAAGCTGAAAGATAACTATTTTTCACTTCTCTATACCACCCATAACATGAGTAAAATGCCACACAGATGGAAGTTGTTCAATTAATCCCTATTTTTTTCAAAAATTCTTCAAAACATGTTTCTTGTTTGCTCCATTGTTACCATCTCAGTAATCAGACAGCATGATATATTTGAAAGTACTTAGGTTCAAATTCCATTTCATAGGGTGTTCTTAGCTAATCAACTATTTTTAGTGCAGGAGGCAGCTAAACCATTGCATTCATGCTAACTATTTTTCACCCATCTGCATTTTTCACTCACAAAACTTTTTAGTATTTATAGATCATAAACATTTATGAAATATGTAGGAATAGTCAAGCTGCATTGTTTTTCTGAATCATTACGAAAGTCTGATGAAAGATATAATATAAAGCCTCCTGTTTCAGTTCCTAGTTCATTTTCACTACAAGAAGAATCAGAGCAGAGATTGTTTCTCAGGGTAAAATACTGAAAAGTGATCTGGAATGAGTCTTAATGAATCATCTGGACATAGCTTTTTATTTCTGGCATTAGGAAATAAAACTCCATTCAGGTCATGCTTCAGAAATTCTTATTTGCCTAATAACATAAAACAACATCAGCAGACAGACTTAGGAAGAAACAGATCAATCAAGCTTATACGTCATTTTCTGCAGACTAACTCATACTCTGTATTTTCTGGCTATCATGTAATCTGCCAAGCTGCTACCATACCTGTTCATCCTTACATAGAAGCAAAGTGATCTGGCTATTGCTCTCAGTTTCCATTTCATTATCAACATTTAAACAATCAGACTGCTTTTAAAATGTATCAAAAATCTGCAAACAACAACTTAAATAGCTTCAGACCAGATTATTTCTGCTAACAAAAAGTTTATATATTTATCCTGGTTCTTCAGTTTCTTTTGCAGTTAAGTTTGATGTTTCTATATGACATTAAAGACATTAAACACACAAAAAATATATACCTATACATACATACACACACACACACACAATAATATTCAAGGATCTAGTTCTGCACCTGTAGAAACTGTGATGTGTACACTGAGTGCTCTTTACATTACTGCACCTTTCAAGTTATCTTGCAAGTTTGGAAAATGCTTTACCACAATTCAAGGGATAAAACGATTGCATTAAATATACTCATTTTGCTTTGTACATCCTGTTGACTTTTAGCAATGCAGATAAATGCAGGTGGTTTTCAGCCAGTAGGAATTTACATTGCCTCCATTACTTCTAACAGTATTTCCGGGCTGGGGAAAAACAAACAAACAAACAAAAATCCCAGGGCAATGAAAAATCACCCCACAGAAAACACAAGTATCTTGCAGACACAAAGTCTGAGACCCCAGCGCTAGAGCCTCAAGAGCAGAGCTGCTGAAGTGAATCACAGGTTATATCCCGTATGGATGACCGTTTTGCCTCTTTGTGAGAGTACCTAATCTTTTACACCAGAGTAACCCACTTTTGGAAGATACTTAAATAACATTTAAACAAAATTGCAAGAGAAAAAAGTTATTTTGTCCATTTATAACTTAAAAATTCTTTAACAGAACGTCCAGTATCAGTTCATTATGGCTGATCCGGATGAGGACAATTCTGTTTCCTCAACAATAAAGATACTGAAATCTCTACTTTGTGTAGAAAAACAAGCTATGATTAAAAAGACACACAGACATCTTCCCCCAAAACAGTGTCCTTCAAATTTTATTCTTTAGCCTTTATAAGCTTTCATTATAACCCTACATTTTGTACAGTATTTTGTGTACAAATATTCCATGTGTCAAGGGAAAGAATTACTTGTAATAAGATTCCATGTATTACAATATTAGGACTTTCGCGTTTGCACCCATGATATTTAAAAAAATCTGTCAGACAAACCAGGTAGAAATAAGTATGCAAAAACTGCAAACAAAAACATTTAAGTAGCCAAAATTAAAAAGACCTGTGTGAATTCACACAGTCTTGCTTGATTGCTACTAGGCTATTGCAGCCAAGTAGTCCTTAACCTCAGTTGGAGTGAGCCGTCTAAAACCAGCTTCATTACAGATGCCAACTTCAATGTTGTCTTCTGTCATTTGCCCTTCAAAGCTTTCCTATAAAAGAAAATAGGGTTCAGTGAACCATAGTAACAATCTCATGACAGTAAGAAATGTATTTCTTAAATATTTTGCTAACCTTTAGTGTTAAAATAGCTGTGTGAATGGCATCTTCTAGTTCCAAATCTTCATTGTATCTATAAAGAGAAGATCACATGTTTTAGCCAAACAGACATAGATCTTTCCAAACCATAGTAATCTTCAAGTCTCAAAATGTAAGCAGTGCTAGAATTCTCCCCATTTTTCCCACAAATATAATCGTTAAGCATTGCTATATAAATATTCAAAAATAATATTTGTAAATATTATGCTCAAGTATTTCATGACTTTTCCTACCAACGTTGTCTGGAACAAAATACCTGCAAATACCTCTATGTTGAATACACTGTATACTGCACTGAGATAACTCTCCATGAATACCAAAGCTCAAGTTTCATTTAAGCAAAGCAAATTTCCTGTGGGCATGTTAACATATAATGCTTCCAGCTTCCTTTTTTAAAGTTTTAAAGGTTTTAAAAATTTGTTCTGATAATTTAGAAGTATGCATTTTTGTCTGCCTGTTGTATGTGGAACTTGAACAAAAGAGATTATTGTTTGAGAAGTTTTAAACATATTACCTTTTTTCAAGGAATGTCTTTCCATTGACATAGTTTTTTCCCATTGCTGTTGCTTTCCATGCAAAGTAAGCTCCCTGTAAAAACAACAATATATTGAACTGTTCTGCATAGCTTGGTCAGACACTACATATTCAATTCCTTTGTAAAAAGGACAAGAGTAACCATGAAAATACTGAGTCGCTTGAGAACACATTAAATATTTTGGGTCACAGACTGATTAGATATGTGAACATATACTGTGAAAATGCACAAAACATTTGTATGACTCCACTATTTTCACCCTCCTACTACTTTGAAAGATGAAAGTCAGTCACTATCACGTTTTTAATTTGGGATTCCTTAAACAGAAATCATATTTTGCCTTCAAGAAAGAACCAACAGTATTTCTTCTTGAAACCTGGAATACACTCCATGTATTTTTCTTCCCTTCTGTTGCAAATCAGCCTGTCTAATTTCTGTTAGCTACTAATAGGGTATTTAGCAATTTGTCTTATTCTGAGGTGAAGACCATCAACAGTTCTATTCATCAATCAAGATGCCTTGCAGAAGGCATTTTCATTTAGTTTTTTACATATGAACACCTGGTAGTAATACAAATTTCTAAAGTTTACCAAGAATCATTACAGCAACTAATTCTTTATTTGATGAAAAGTGTTGTAACTAATACAAGCATCAAAAGGTAGACTTTATTACATGTGCAATATACTACAGCAAACTCACTCAAATTAATCACTGTGATCATTAAATAGTGAAGTAAGTGCATTGCATTTCATAATGCAATTGATTATGGCCTGATTTCCACCCAGCTTAGGGAACGCTATGTGAGCAACACAAACAGCCGAATGCCTATCCTAGCATCTGCTGCAGAATGCTAGACTCTTCCTGTCACTACCAAGGAGGTGGGAAGGCATGAAAAGGGTGGTGATCTTTCTCAGCAACAACTGCCACTCCTCAAAAGCAGTCCAGAAACAGACAAGTGCAGAATTAGCAGGTGCTACTCACTTCCTACATTGCCTTGGCACAGCAGCCAAACATCCAGGGGTGCTCCCAGCACCCACTGAAACTGGATCATTGTGATTTACATAGGTTAAGGGATCCTTTGTTCTAGCTCCTCATCACAAAGTATTTCATAGGTGTGTATAAATTTTTTTTTTTTACATGTTTTATAAGTAGAGTTTTCAAACGTAGAATACTTACAGATGGATCCGACTGAAATAAATAGGGCCGCCCTTCATTCCAGCCACATATTAGCAGTGATACACCAAACGGACGAACACCACTACAGGCAAAAAAATAACAAAAACAAACACAGCTGACGTCAAAAGTTTTGAAATTTATTTCAAAAAACACCAAAACTGACTGAATAATTTTGGATGCGTTAACCTCCCCCAAAGGCCTCCCAATAGCCCAGAGCTGCGATCAGGAATGACTACTTGACCAACAGTACCAAAAAAAAAAAAAAAAAAAAAAGTTTGCTGGCTTCTCCAATGTTTATTTTCAAGATATTAAAGAGCATGTTTTGCCTCCTGCCATGTAGTGGTCCTCCCACTGGCCTGCTTTCCATGGTCATTCTCCATTAAGAAAGGTTAACACTCACTACCTTTTTGACTGAAAAAATGTTAAATCTCCAGATAGTAGTTATACCTTATGTTTAACTAACATAATCTTTCTAAGCACTTTCAAGCTTCTGAAAACTGCATACCCAGATTGCGTATATTCCTGCATCACAGAAGCAATTCTCTGTACTAGCTGAGCTGTTGGAATGGGCTCATGATAAACCAAATAATATTGCTGGGCTAGCTTCCGAGCTCTGTGCACAAGTACCCTAAAAACAAAGACAAAATTATATGACAAAAATCTCCAATTAGTTGTTACAATTAATACTGAAAAGAACTCATTACAACAAATACTATGGTAAGAAATTACATATCTGGCATAAATGTCATTTAAGAAAACACGTATTTTACTGGGGTATCCTGATCAATTCAGTAATTTCTGAAGTGCTTAGACAAACTGGAACTAAGCACACTGCTGTTAATTTGTTATTCATTTTTAAAACATAACATATTTGCTAAGGTTTTGAGTATATCAAGAAAAGCTTAGAACATGAATTTAATACACTGACAGTATATCATTATACTATACACATATATTTTACTAAACTCATTCTACAACATATTATTATACTATACACTTAAAAAGAAACAAAAATTGCTATCTTTATCAGCTTCTTCTCACATGAAAACATGTCTAAATGATCACCAAGCAAAACTTTTTAATACCTGTAGTCTGGACCCATACCACTATACACTAAACCTATATGCTTGGTAATTGGTTCTACTTTGTGGACACTCCTTTCATCGTAAAGAATGGATTTCTGCTTCTTCTCAGTTGCCAACACCACTCCATTCGCAGCTGGAAAAGAACAAGATTTTTTCCATATTAAAATAAAATTATCAAAATCAGTTGAAATAGAACAGGTTTGCCAGAATATAAAGAATTTTCTTCCCCCCTTTTTAAAAGGCCCTTCAGGTTTATAATGATGTTAAACAGTGATCCTTTGATTAATCCACCCAGCATATCACCTCTCATTTCAAATAAACACATGGCGCTCAGAATCCCATTTTAAAGATTCTGAAGAATACTTTAATAATTGATCGGTTGAAGTATCTTTATGTGCAATTTCCATAAATGCAGACACGCAGCTGGAGTCATTTACTTAAGGAACAGGAAGATTCAAAATTGAAGATGTTTAGTTCTACTAGCTGCACATCTCCAAAACTACCCCAGCAAGATATCTATGCTCCCTTCCTAATAATTACTGAGTTGCAGAAAAAGAAGAGAAAATATTACACTCACTAAAATATGTGAAAATCCACTAAAAAAAAAAAAGGGCAATAAAAAGCAAGGTAATAGAAAGCAAAGAAATACCCAGTAAGTAGACTAAACTATTTTAGCGCTCTCAACCAATCTTCAGAATCCTGCATCCTTCACTAAAGTAGTTCTGAATGTACCTTTAATTCCAACTGATGGAGCTCCTGCAGCAACTGCAGCCAAAGCGTATTCTATTTGAACAAGTTTTCCAGAAGGACTAAAAAGAAAAACATAGAAGTAAGCCATAACATAATTCTAATATACTCAAATCTTTACTGCAACAATCTGATTCTAACTTGCTGATTTAAGCTTCTTTAGATCTAACATCAGTATAGTCTAACCAAAATTAAAAGAAAAAAGAAGGTCTGAACATTTATAATAGCTTTTAAAAGAATGAGACAGGTTTAGCGCGTAACTCACTGCAGCACAGTTCTTCAAGGGTACTCATACAGTGCCTCCCTACATGTCTGGTAAAAGCTAATGTACCTCGGATAGGTAGTAGGAATTGGGATGCAGGTTGAAGGAGGACAAGTCCCTTCACCAACCTTGTAACGTTATAAACAAGCTTTCCACTTAGTGGGTCACGAACTTCTGGCAAACGTAAGAAAAAGCTCCCAAATTTATATATTTAGATGGTATTATACACGTTGTTCACAAAAGGTTTCAAGACGGCAACATTCACTCTTGAAAGGTATGAGCAAAACACTATTTTTCTTGACTGTTTAGCACACGTCAGGTCAATAACATAACAAAGAAACAGCTTCCACGCTCCAGATATCTCGGCATTTATGTTTAAATGATCTACATTGGGCTGGTAATGAATGCACAATCATCAGAACTGAGCAGCAGGTGGCAGGCTGTCAAAATAACTCATCCATACTGCGGTCCAATTTCAATCTCCAGAGAAGAGGACAGAATGGAGCGAGTCACTCATAAGACAAATGATTTTGACAAGTGGGATCTATTATCCGGGCTATATTTCAGGCACTCTGGTGTTAACAGACACAGAAGTAAAACAGAAAATGATGCACCTCTGTACTTAGAGGAGGTAAAGAACAAAGCAAGCAATAATTATTGTAGTTTTTCATACACTAAGTAAGTATAGACAACAAAGTAAGAATTCTAACTTCTCCATTACAGAAAACCAATAAACCAGAACAATACAGTTTCCTGTGCCAGCAATTAAAATATACAGAACGTTAGTAGAATGTTTTAAAAAGCAAGATATACAAAAACAAACGATGCTCAACGCAAGAAAAAGGTGAACGAGGGAAAACACAACTACTTGTATTGTCTTCTACGAGAGTATAAAATCAAATAGCTTTTAAGGTTAAGGGCATGAAGTGCTTCTGTAAAATACAGGAAAACCTTGTAACTCCATTAGGAAACTACTTTCAAAAGCTAGCAAAAAATTCAACCCACTTGAGTGCAATGTGTATGTTTGACTATACCCATCCACTACAAAGATTCTTTTACTGGTTTTAGATTGAAAACTGCTTCATTGGCTCAACTACAACAAGACTTTAGCGAGCCATTTTGCAACTACACAGCACTACCCTTCTCCAAGACTAAGCGAGCACTTTACCAAAATCAGCGCAGAGATTCATGCTTTCAGTTTCTCTTTTTGCACATTTATGAACTAATCCTGACTAGTTAAGAGCTTTATTGAAAAACAACACAAAAATCATTTCTTTTTTGCTGGATTTCTCTCAAGTGCCTGTATTAGAGCAACACTTTAGCTTCTTTATTGTGTGCATACAATCATCCCACTACACTTAAGAGTGTTCGTAACACAAAGCACAAGAAGAATATTGCCTGCAAAGTGCAGTGGGAAGGGAAATAGACTCTTTAGAACTTTTCTGTTCTAAAATTCTGCAAAATTACTTCTGAAGCAAGTTCTCAAGGTACCAGCTATCAAGCTCGACTATCATCATACATTTCTAATCAGGTCAGAAGCCTCCGGGTAGCTGCAGGGAAGAACGCAGCTACCGCCCAGGCCTAAAAGGGGGGAAAGGGAGAGGGGAGACAACCTTTAACGCTAAGAACCTTTCACGCTCCCAAGCTTATTAAGACATTTCATCACGCTCTTGCTATAAGGCACCGCCAGTGTGCTGACTCGAGCCCAGACGGCCTCCGGCCGGCTCCGCACTGATTCCGCCTCACGGGAACGGGAGAAGGTGCGAGAGGCGACCGCGTTACGGCTAGGGTCGGCAGCAAAGTGAGGCGGGAGCTCACGGGTCCCCCCCTGAGCCGCAGCACCCTCCCAGGCCGCCCCTGGAGCCCTCGGCCCACGCAAGCTTCCCAAGAGAGGGTGAAACCTCCGGACCCCC